GCAGCTTGCCAGCCACTCGTGGGCTCGGGAGCAAAGCAGCTGCCATGTCACCACGTCCTGCAGCCGTGTGTTCCACGCTCCAGGCGATGGAATCTCACACTTGACACTCAATCAAGCAGCACAGCAAATCCAGGAACGTGGCTCCCTCTGTGGTGCGAGTCGCAGGCTCTGGCCCCCGGGCTAGCTGGGAACCATGAACACCTCAGCCTTATTTCCAGCGATTCTGTCCCAAGGAAATACTTGCACCCCTCTCTACTTCATCCATTAACAGCTGCCATTAACTTCTTTTTTAAAAGCCAATTTTAATATTAAAGCATTCTGATTTATTTATTCCATGTACTTAATACAAACTCTCCATGGTATTGCTTTGCATTTTCACAGTTCTCATCACCAGATCATTAAGAAAATGGCTTTTGAGTTTTCTCAGAAACGACGGTCACATACATTCTAAATAATTTCACAAAATAGCGAGCGGAGCAAATTTATACATATATATTTTTTTACTGTATATAAATAATAGTACAATTTTCAACTTTCACTTTTAGAAATTCCTTTAGTAAATGCATAGGTTTGTTACAAAACTCTTCTAAGCAAATACCTGTGCACTGTTCTACCCCGTGTGAGCCCCCGTAAACTCGACGGTTACATTCATAAGATAAAAAAGCACGCTGTCTTCAGAAATGCTCCCTCAGCTGAGCTCCCCACAAGACAATTAAGTCCAGTAGAAATATAGATGACTTAATGCAGTTTCTTTAGGTGCAAAGTGATCACGTTATCATTAAAAATAACCCCGCCCACATCCGTACGAAACCAAAAGCTTTAGCACAGGAACTGCAACCAGACCCGCAGCTCTTCAATCACCGAACGGTGGGACGTTCCCCAGTCAGAATATGGGGGATCCCGCAGCCGCCGCGGCAGGAGCCGTGACAGTGATGCAACACTCGACCAGGCAAGAGTGTGGATTTTCAGCCCTCTCGGTCGGTTTACACCGTGTGCCCCCGGGGTGCCAAACACAAGCACTCAGTGCCCACGAGCAGCCGTTGCGTCAAACTGCACGCCCGTACCCTACACTAGTCCAGTCCCAAACTCAGCCCCCATTTCTGCGCCAGGGAAGGGGGTCCTGTGGCCGCTGGATCACAGGGAACACGTATGAGTCCCCTGTCACCCCACCTCAGCTCACAGGTTCCAGGGTCCTGCCGTGCCCGTGCCGGCAAGCGTGTGGGTGACAGCAGTTGTGCCTCGGCGTGACCCAGACCTGCTGCACGGACGGGTCTTCTGCCTCTGCAGCGACTACAGCCATCACACACTGGAGCCAAATCTCCTGGGGATGTGGATCCTCAGCAGATTTTCCCCAGCAACGCATGTTCAAGTCATCCGAAGAGAACTGTGCGAAGGAGGGGCAGCCTTGCTGCGCTTGGGTCCCCGGGCACCCTTAAGAGTAGGAAGTTAGAACTTTTCCAGCTCAGCTCATGGCAGGATCCAACCTGGGGAGACTCCAGTGTGGGACGTGTTCCATGGGCAGGGCCGTCAGTGACCTCAGTGGCCATAAACCCCAAGAGACGCTGATGCGCTGCCTACCAACAGCTTCCGCACCCATGACCGGCCAGATTCAACCAACGAGCAAAGGAGACCGTGGGGAGCATCTCTCAGCAGCTCACCAATTCATGCTGGACCACAAGAAGACTCGAGTTCCATGCCCTAACACCTTGCTGTGCCAGCCACCGGGAGCCTGGGAACCGGCAGGAGCACCTCGGCTGTGGGCGCCCACAGCATCTCGGCACGGAGACCTGCTGGGCTAGGCAGGGCGATGGAACACGGCCACGACTTCCCTCCACGGAAGAAGAGTGCACTGGGGTTCCCTTCAGCGAAGCTCAACTTTCTCCCAACGCAGAACACGCCGGAGGGGCGAACACAAGCGCCTCGCTCAGACATCAGCTAAACGTGCTACACTCACCATTCCGTACCAGACGAAACCTCGTTCGTGTGAGCCACAATCCCTTCAGTGCAGCGGGACCTTCGCTCACTCACGTCACCTCTCTGCCCAACTCACAGAACTGCGCGTTAAGCGGCACCAACGACGGTCCTCTCCGACCACCTTCGGGACCTGCAGGGCTGCACTGTTTCTCCGAAGACGCAGTTGTGGATGTGATTAAAATATCACTACATTTTTCAGGGTAGGGAACCATTAATGCAGGTATACTCACAGGTTAAATCGCTGTGAACCCGCTTGTACAAAAAATACAATCATAGCACCATATTTACAGATTTCGTACCATCTCCTGGATAACTGAGCTCGAGCTACTCTGTATGGCTGATCCGGTTCTTGGGAGGGCTTGCAAAAATTGCCTGCATTTCTTTTACAAATATACACGTATAAAAAGAAACATTATCAAAACCGCTGTCATCTAAGGCAGCAACTGTGTTATAAAAGTTATTAAAACGTCATTATAGCAGTAAAAAAGCATCAAATTTACATTTTTCCTTTTCAGAGGCACTCTATGAACAAAAACGTGGCCTGGTTTTCACAGCTGTTAGTTTAAGCATTTCAACTAGTTAAATGTTGCTCCTTTTCTTATAGATATAAGCAAGAGGAAGAAAGAATCACCCATTAATCAGAAGCATCGTTTACAGTTTTTACTTTTGCCTGCATTGTACACGTTTGGCTTCCAAGTGAGACCGTGTTGCTGTGGAGGTTTCGGGAATGTCATCCCACTGCCTTCTTAGGGCTTAGCTCCTTCTTCCCCAGGATTCGGTGGAGGCTAGCTGACATGAAGTAGGGCTTTGCTGTAGATCCATCGTTTCTTTCCAGGTCTTCACCTGAATTTACACAGCAAAAGCAGCCAAAAGAGCAGAGAGCAGGACAACCAGGGAGAATCGGAGAAAGGAGAGAGCAGAAGACCCAACATTACCAAGAAATCTCAACCACGGCACTTCAGCTGTAGGATCACTTCATGCCGGACACGCTAAGGTTCTTATTCTCTCAAACCAGAAGCGGCTTTGGGCGAAGCAGAGCCCCAGATGCCTGGCCATTTCTAAATGACAGCAGCAGACCCTTCCTGTTCCCATGCTGGGGAGACATTTTCAGAAATACCCATGGCTCCACCGAAGCCTGGAATTTCAGCTACTTCCTGCTAGAAAATGTGTCTCCGAAGAGCTGTGGATGGAAGCACTTCTTCAAACTGGGTCCTTTTCCACTGCCTGAGAGAAAGGCCTTTGGAAAACCTGGGGCCACAAGTGCACGATATTCCCTATCATCTCCCAGCGCCCGTTCCTGGATGGGGGCGTGGGAAGCAAAAAAAGTGCAAACGTAAAATACCGAGGCGGAACTACCCAACTGGTCTGGGCTCAGCCCTGAGTCACAGTCCCAGAGCGCCGAGCCATCTCCCGCGGGCGGGCGGGCGCAGGCACTGCTGCTGCTGCGCAGAGGCAAACGGCTCGAGCTGCCCCGCCAGCGCCTGGTGAAGCTGGGGCCAAAGAGGCGAGAGGAGGCAAAGCTTCAGGTACCTCCACTAAAATCTGTTGATTTCTCAGCGCACCAAACTCTCCAGATTCTGAGTTGGACTGACTGCCATTTCATGGGAAGTAACAGCGATAACCTACGTGCGTATTTATGCTTTAGCTTATTTCTCGCAGCGTCGTTAGTGCTGTCTGCCCCTGACCACCTCTGTTCAGAAGCAAAGGCCGTAACTCGAGATAAACAGGACGTAGCTCTCAGTCATCAGGTTTTGTTTTCTGACTGATTTGCTCCTGTGATTCCGTGGCAGCCCAGCATTTCCAGAGAACTGCCAACCTCGGGGAAGCAGCATGAAGAAAGCCAGTGTTTAAGGGGAAGAAAGGATTTCTGCTGCTCTAAGAGGAGGATCAGTATCACGACGTTTATCTTGCCCACGTGCTCCACTGCACACGTGACAGATGATGCCTATGCCTAGTCCAGTATCCCCTTGGTGTTACCAGGCAGTTCACCAGCTGCAAGAGCCATCGCTGCCATGTGACTTCTGCCTGGACCTACCATGGTGACTTTCCATAGAGAAAAATGGTATTTTCGGTTCTTTAATTCAGCAACTCTAGCAAATTGCATGGGTTTCCTAATAAGTACATCTTCTTCTTATAGTCACGTCCTAACCTGAGAGCAACAGATTTCTTTTATGATGTTAGTGTTCTGACTGGCCACACTGAACAGCAGTCCCTTGAGCGCCGTGACTGCTCGCCACTGGGGCTCCCAGGGACAGACAGGCTTTTAAATGGTATTCGCACAAATCTGAAGGTAATTCAGCCTACGCCTTTGTTCAGGGCCATTAAGTTGAGAACAAAGGACCACCTACATACCAAAGAGTAGCTGGTTTTACCAAGAAGTTTGAGTGTAACACTGCTGTACGGGCTCTTCACACAGCACCCAGAAGCAAACTGCCAATGAAGGTTAAGGAACATCCGAGAACCAAAAGCCAGATAACCCCAGGAGCCGTACAGCCACCTTCCATTACGCCAACTAATTAGATCTCAATACTAAACCACTTGTGCACTGAAGATGCATCCAGGAGCCAGCCTGGAGAGCAGAAGCAGTTTTTTTGCACAGTCTGCTAGCATGTCACTGGAATTCTGTAAGGAACAGGTAAGGTCCTTTTCTATTCCTCTTCCCGAGCCTCGCAGGTATCAGTGAAAGAAAACGTGGTACTCACAAAAGCAGAGGAAAAGCGTGTCGACACACATTGCATAGACACTGAAGAACCCATGTGCAACTAGGTAGGAGCCAACAATGACCGTCTACAAAAAAGCAAAGCACAACGAAACCCCAAGTTTAGTCTGGCACGTGTAGTTACCTGCATGTGGGCTGGTTTGGTCAGGACAGGGTTAACTCCCCCCACCAGGGCTGCTTTTGGGCTGGTTTGGGTTTGCCCTGAGAAGAGCCCTGCTCAGGGGTTTGTTGGCTGGTTCTGGGCAGTGCTGCCCCAGTTCAGGGGCTTTCCCAGCTCCTGATCCTGCCCGTGTTCCCAACCTTCTCACTCCAAGCAGCAGGGGGGCACAGCTCAGACAGCCAACCCCGACTGCCCGAAGGGGGTACTGGGGGCCACAGCTTGTTCATGTGTGTGTTTGTTCGTTAGTCAGCTGGGGGTCAGGGGGCTTTCCCGGCTGTGTGGTCACTTGTGGGGTCACTCGGACTCTGCTGCCATCGCTCTCGGGCTCTGACTCTTGCTGCTCGGGACCGGGCTGTGTGTCGGTCAGGGCGGGGGTGGGGTGAGCAAGTGTATCAGATATCGATCTTCAATTATTTTAATTACTTACTATTATAGCATTGTTAATATTATTAGTATCACCATAACACTTAATTTATATTCAATCATTAGGTTGTTCTTATCTCAACCCACGAGCCTCCTTGTCTTTTCCTCCAACTCTCCTCGCTGGGAGGGGCAGGCGAGCGAGCGGCTGCCAGCTGGCCCTTCGCTGCCAGCCGGGGTAAAGCTCGACAGGCACCAGCACGGCAGTGTTAACACACGTCAGAAGCCCAGACTGCCGAGGAAATCTGGGAGATGCAATGGCAGCTCTGCAATTCTACCCAAGGGTGCCACTGCTGTGGAAAGGGGTCGCAAGCTCAAGGCATTGTACCCTAACACGCAGCCGCTTGTTTTCCAGCTGCCAAACTGGAGCCGTTTCAACCCCCAAAGGGAACATTGCCAAAAATATTCTCCCACTCCGTCAAGGTTATCCTACAGACCCACTCATCCTGGCGATGTTCTGGGGTCTAGGGGGGCTGCAAAAGCCCCTCCCACACCATTACCACGCCTCATCATCAGCCTTTGCTGCCTCGGCAGATGTGAAACCTGCTTTTTGAAGGTGCCAAGTCCCCGCAGAGCCCCTTCTGCCTGAAGGATGCAGGACTAGGGTGCACCAAGGCAGTCCTCGCTGCTGCAGGTGATACACCCCTGAGCTGCTACCAGACCATGCCCCCAGCACTCCGCGCTCCTCACACTGCCCTCAGTCGTGGGCGAGACGGCTGGCTGCCTTACCAGGAGCGGAACCCAGTAGTAATTTAACGTTGGTGCTTCCTGCGCAAAGACTGGAATTCTCTGTGTGAAGAAGAAGAAGGCCAGGACACCTGCAAGAAGCACAGAAGAGGAGTGATGCCGATGCCAACTGATTCACCGACACCTAAGGAGCGGAGGAGACAAAGCAGACAGACAACAGATCCAAGGCTGGTTTAACCACGAGCTCTGACAAGTAAAATCCACCATGGTAATTAACTGCTGGATCTGTACTGTGACAGAAGAGATATGCAAATGAACCAATTTCCATAAAGGTATTTATGGGCCCAGAAAGACTTTAATGAACTGTTTGATTCAGCATCCTACTGGATTTATTAGCAAAATGAATAAATGAAGATAAACAAGACAATGACATGGGCTAACGAAGACCAGTGGGTGGATCTTTTCTAAAATACAGCAAGAGTGAGCAAAATTCTGCTGCTTTCGGGTGCCTTTCTTGAGGAACTACCAAAGTGCTTGAGAAGGAAAGGAGAAACGGCAGTGCTGGCGATCCAGCGCGGCAGGAAGTTCAGAACAGACCGATGCGTCGCCAACAGGAGTCGCTCAAAGAATTTATCCCCAAAGAGGACAAACCCGTGAACGAATGTCAGTATTTCACGGCTCACGTTCCAGAGAACGTGTTTCAGATCAAACCTGTTACCCCAGTTTGGAAGTAACTCTATAGCAACGACAGAAATATTTTAGAACAGCTCGTGGTACTAACTTTCAACTTTTGGTTAAAATACAACCAATATGTAATCTCTTAGAGCACACGGAATACACACCACAGTCACTAGTAACATAATGCACTGAAGCTGCTGTGACAGCTTTGAAAAGCCGCAAGGGAGTAGCTGCCAACCTGGACTCCTGAAGTGCTTCATTTTAAACCACATTCACTTCTAGTCACGGGAAAACCTGGATAAAGTATGCTGATACCTGCTGACAACTAAGAAAAGCCCACAATGATCTCAGAAACACTCCACTTCTCTGGCTTACAGCTGTAATGGGCTCATTGCAGTTTTGTTAGCCCTCACGGAAGGAGACCGACTTATTGGTGAGAACTGGGTTTCCCCCGATGCCTCGGCCGCGGGGGCCTGTGTGCCAGCAACACACGCAACAGTGGTCAAAGCAGTTACGGAAAAGATGCTGCCAACCAAACACTGGGTGTGGGAAAGGGGGAAAAAGAAAAAATCGACTGCAGTTCAGTCCTGAAAGCATAGAAAGAGCTCTCCAGAGAGTCAGAGCAGCGAGCACCCCAGTGGTTAGCTCGGCACAGATGCGTATGGCAGCTGCACCCGCAGGCACCTGCAGGCGGAAGAGAGCCTGGAGAAAGTCTTACCTACACCGCCAGCAACCAGGATTTTCCCCAGGAATAGGAGAAAGTCTGTGACTTTGTCCAGAACTGCAACCCTGTTCAGAAAAGGGAAAATGATACATGATCATCACAAACCAGACATCTGTGTTTTCTCCTTAAATCTCCGCTGCCAAAAGGTGACCAAGAAGCTGTCGCTGTACCGCACAGACCCACCACGGGACGGGCTTTGTTACAGCCTAATCGCATGGCGCAGGAAAGCCCCGGGGCTCTTGCAGAGCGGGGCCATATAGCAGCAACATGCCTACAGCACAAAGCTCTTCACTGCTCCTGCTGACTAAAACCAGCCCAAAACATCAAGAGTTTTATTTCCGTCCTCGCAGTGTGACGGAGGAGCCAGCCCGGAAGGGGCAAAGTACACACCGAACCAAAGCACGACGTTTCTTAGGTGCTGGTATGTCGTCCTTTCACTCCGTCCTCTCTGGCCATGTTTCATGAGCCCAGAACACACCACATCTACTGTTTCAAGGCATCATGGAACAAAGCTGAAGGCGGGAGGCCTTGATGCCAGGATACACTCACGGGTGAATGCGCGTAGGCAGAAAAACGGCCAGTGAACCTGCCGCCCTCAGTAAAGCCACAGAGTTTCTGCTCGAGATCCCGCCAGCCCACCTTAGCAGACAGTGCAGGGAAATACCGGGGTGGAAACGGCACCACCAGCCTCCTGACAGCGCTGAGGGCCACAGATGAGGGAACACACAGCACTGACTACCGTGACAGTTAAACATTACGAAATATTAACGAGAACTAATCATCATTGGCCTGTCAAAATTCAGCATTAGCAAAACACACCAGATAAAAACCCTCTCTCTGAACCCGTGATGCGGTCTGCACATCTGCTTGGCAGCTACTGCTCGCCGTGACCAAGAGCAGGAGCACAGAGCACAGCGAGGTGGTGTGCTGGAAGCAGACAGCAGCTTCTTTCCTACTGCAGGGGCATGACAAGGTATGCGCAAGAGCAACACACCCAGGCTACAGGATTCCAGCAGCCCCGCACGGGTGACTCTGCTGGCCGCCCTAAGTGTGTCTTCAGAGGGCAACAGCAGGAACTCCTGCTGTTTCCAAGGTCTGGGAGACAGCCCCTTACCTCACCACATTCCGCATGAGCAAAAAGAACGCTTCCCTTGCTGAGGTGCAGAAGTTTTTACCGTAGATGGCAATCTGCAAAACAACGGGAGCTGTTACGAGTTTCACAGAATTCGGATACCTCCTCGTGTGCCAGATGCTCGCTGTGCGTAACGCACGGTTCTCTCCGACACGTGGCCTTGAAGCTCAGGTGAGCATAAAGCACCTCCCCGTGTCGCTTGCCACCTCCCAACGTTTCCCACCAGGTGGGAGAGAACGTTTCCCGTCTTCCCCTTCCCACAGCCTGGGATGAGCATCCCGGCCCCTGTGATTGCGCCGGCGGCACACTCAGTAGCTGGTTTGCCAAGCAGTGCTAACACGGTACTTGAGGGCTTCCCATCGTGCTAGTCACTACCCTAGATGTACGGTCAGTGGGGAAGAGGCCCTTGCAGAGCAGAAACAAGTTGACCCCTGCAGGCGTCTCCTTGGGCCTGATGCTGCTCCCAGTTAAGAAGAAATCAGCAACACCAGCATCACAGTCGGTGGATTTACAGCAACATAAAACAAAGCAGCTAAAGTTACTCAGAAACAAAATCATTTCTTGTCCCCGGAGTAGTGGCCACACACGCTGCAACAGCCGTAGCGCAGTTCACCAAGTGTAAACACGCCAGTCAAAAGGAACACCCCCCCTTCGAGCTGGCATGGAGACACTGGCTGTGTGAACAGGGGTTACAGTGGGCCCCTTACAGCCCCCTCCTTTGAGAGACTGCACCCCTCAACCACTGAGACCCCTTCGAGTCAGAACACCTCCGGCTGACATCCGTGTACGTCTGCCCCGGGAAGTCTGGAATTTCTCTTCTGGAAGCTGAGGAGCTTTATTTCAGTCATATCACTGCTGCTGCTAGGAAAACGTGTACTCGTAACTTCCAGGAGGCGAGGCTGATACCACATGCCTGCTGCTCTGTTACTCACACGCCCCCAGGCAGGAGAGCCAGCAGCACACGCAGTGAAACCAGCTCAGTTCCTGCCCAAACCCAGATTCCAACTGCCGAACCCGGGGGCTGTTAACCAGTCCTGCCATCCCTTTGCACTGTGGGGGGTGAGGGGGTGGACACGGGCAGGCGTGAAAAGAGGCTGAGTTCAGAAGGAGGAAAAGAAAATCTTTCATGGCAGGGCCACATGCATTTCCCCAAACCCCCATCACCCCCATTATTTGTCTGGCGGACCCTAGTACCGCTGGCTGCTGACCAGCCCAGGGTACGCCAGCGGCCCTGATGGGGGAGCCCGCATGCAGGGACAGCACATACCATGATGTAGGCATTTCTGTTTATAAACTTCAGGAATTTCTCCAAACACCAGAAGCAGCATTTGAGGCAGCAGAGTAGGAATCTAGTGAAGGAGTTCTGTGTACCTGAAAAAAAGGAGCTAGCATATCACGTACAGAACTCAGGAAGAGTCTTCAGAGCATAGAATGCTGGTCAGAAGAAAATCTTAAACCGTGATGAAAGCAGTAACTACTTCTTTTCTTCTAGGGACGGGCTTTCGCAGCCAGCTTTCGCTCGCTGGCTTCAACTGGGTCAGATCCACAACCTGCATGGACTCTGCATTCAGGTCCCAAAGACACAGACTCAGTTTGAGAAAACCAGCTCAAATTCACTGGCTGCAAACAGAACTACAAATGGCTAAAACTAGGGCGGAATGAACCTCTCTTCGTGACTGAAAAACATCTTGGGAAAGCAAGAAGGCCTTAACGACCCGGAGAGATGCGTGGGTCTCACCTTTCAGTTTGTGATCCAGGTACTCCAGTATTACCCTAATAAGCTGGACAACTGCAAGAATTAAGGCTCCAAAGGCCAGCGAACCTGTATGGTATCTGAAACAAAATAAACGAGCGTTACCTTGTGAGTGTGTGTACAATTGTGTGTGTGTGTACAATTGTGTGTGTACAGAATTCTCTCTCTGTGTGTACAATTGTGTGTGTGCAATTCTCTGGGTGTGTACAACTGTGTGTACAATTCTCTGTTTTGTACAATTCTCTCTGTGTGTGTGCACAATTCTGCGTGCGTGTGCATGCAGATATGAACAGAAATACAGCCGGAGGAAGGGCCATTAGTGGACATGGACCTTCACCCTGACCTGCCAGAGCAGCACAGGATGAAGCCAGTGTGCTGCTGGTGTTTGGGTGAGTACTGACTCGGTCCATCTGTCCATCAGCTGTGCACATACATGTTGTACACGTGTGCACCTACCAGGAATACCTGCTCGGCCTTGGAACTGGGCAGACCTGGGGCGTGGAGCTGTAGCAGCCTTGGGCTAAGGGGTTCAGCCTCCCCTTAAAAACCACATTTTCCTGACTGTACTGGGGTTGGATGGAACGGGGTTAGTTTTCTCCACACTAGCTGGTACGGGGTTCTGGTTTGCTGCCTACCGAGACTGAACCACAGCGCTGACTAGCAGCTTTCAGTTTCTAGTCCACGGTTGCTTCCCTAGAGGCAAGAGCAGCACGCGGATACACGAGAGGGCTCACACCCAGCTCCAGCCTCACCGTATTGCTCGTCCGAACGAAGAGAAGAGCGGCCACAGGGGGATGTCAGCGGGTTTGCGAGAGGCCCAGTAATAGGAGGCGAAGGCACCAGCCAGGGTACACTGGCCCAGGGCAATCGCAAAGTTCACCAGCCACAGAAAGACGAAGGCATTGGCTAACTGGAAGATGAAGATGTACTTATGGTACAGGCTTTCTCCTCCATAAAAAGCAAAAGTGCACTGGGCACCTGGACACACTTTAGTCACGTTGGTTGTGTTAAAAGTCTGTACAGAGAGAAGAATAAGCAAAACAGCAGTAAGCCATGACTGTGATACAGAGTGTCTGAGCAGCAGCTTCACACATGCAACATAACTGCCTGACATTTCATCGGCTCACTCAGCACCGCGCTCCAGCACTCGGTAACCTGGTTACGTATTTAGGGGTTCATAAATGTCTTACGCAGCCGCTTAACTCTGTCCTGCGCAGTCAGCAAACAGGGCTGTTCACCACATGCCTGAAACCTACACAAATGGCATTTGCATTTCAGAAATCTGCTTTAAAGACATATGAAGGCTTCAGGGTCACTGAAGAAAACCTGCCATCTTTAAAACAAACCACTGTTTGAAATCCAAAGGCCAAATTTGCACTTTGGGTAAATCACCACATTGGAGTGGAAATCCAGGGAGCTCTGCCCTTTTACACAAGCCGTGATGTGGTCACAGTTTCCCTTTACAACAGGAGCACTCTTTACACCTAATTAACCCTCCCGGTGTCTGTTGTTCCCTGCAGGTATTTGCTCAGTTCAGACATTCCCACTGGGCAGTGCGTGAGCAGCCGTGTGGTGTCCCTGCTGGCGGGGGCTAAACCATGGCATCGTTACCTCAAATACACACATTTCCCACCAGCACGGCAGGTAACAGTGATTAAGAAATGCAATTGGTACAGATGCCATACAGGTGACTGTCTGTGGTGCTTACCTCTGGGTCACAGGTCAGGTTTGTGTACTTGCACAGCGTCTGATTAGCCATTACTTTATACACAGCCTCTCCTGACGTCGCCAGAAAACTGAGTGCAACATTTTAAGGAGGAATCACAGAACCGCAGGCTTTGAGCAACTCGGGCTCCCGCAGTGGGTAACCAAGAGCGCTGAAGAACTTGCGCAGGAAACAGAACTGCTCTTACAACACAGAAGTGTCCGTGAAGGGTCGCTACAAGCCACTGAATACTCTCATTAGGGAACTAAGGCAAACGCCGTCCCAGGGCTGTAACGACCCTGACCAGACGGGTACGGGCAACAACCCGAACCGTTGGCTCATTCCCTCCGTACATCCGCCTTTGGCAAGGCAGATTATGCCGTAGTTCTCTGACACCTCATGTTTTGTGGAAGCAGACACAGAGCACAAGGACAGTGAACTGCCCTGAGCAGCAAGAACTGACCCTCTTGGCGCGTGAAAGAACAACTCGCTTTCAAACAGCACGTTTCCCCTTTCTGAAACACTGCCAAAGCCTTGCTGTTCTGGGACCAGGCAGACAGTGGTTGCTCTTGTGGCATTTGGAGAGGACTCGGTGCGCTGTACGTTCTCTCACTTCTTCCCTATGCTTCTCCAAACAAAACACCCCACACTCCCAGCTGACCAAGAGACCATTAACATCAGGCCAGCGGAGTATATTCCCTCTTGGCTGAGGGCCTTTTTTACCCCTTAAAGTCAACCTTATGTTGTACACAAGGCCTGGTACAATCCCCTGCCTCGGCATGAACTGCAGTCCAGTCCTTTTTAATGACTTTAAGTTCACTGTCCCATTCGTGTGTCACAGGAGATGTGCAGTGAGGAAGAGTTCACCGGTGCAGCAAGTGCTAAGTGACCAAACAGCCTTAAGGACGGTTTGGTTACCGTGAAAGAGACGAGAAAGAAGTAGGGGTACATGGTGTTGCAGAGCAGCCTGTTCCTCCCGAGGACGCAGGCAGAAGGATACACCGCTGTCACAGCCCAGTAGGAAATACAGATTGCGATGAGCACAAAGGTGACGATCGGGTAGAACAACGTAGACATGATATAGCCAATAGCTCTGTGGAAGAAACAAAACATGTCAGGACGCTGCAACAGTTTCAGAAACAAGCTTTTTAGCACCCTCTTGCAGCAGCATCCTTCTTACTCTGAGCTACTTGCTGACAGTGACAGCATAATCCAGAGCCGGGATCTCGGAATACTGCCGGGTCTTTCTTCAAAAGCCTGCGCACCTTCACGCTGGCATTTCAACACTCCGCTCTACGGGCAGCACCGCAGCCAACCTCGAAATCTGCCACGCTC